GCTTCAACGGAATGAAATAAAGATATACAAAAGTTTATATACAAAAGTGCTCTTTTAGTTCCACCCTTACTTCTTAAGAAGTCCCATAAGCCAACTGAATGGCTTGTGCGGGTTAGGGGTAGGAACGGACCGCGGGCTTAAAGTCCCCTCCGAAGGACTATTACACAATAGGACAAACACAAATAAACATCCATACCCCTGGTGGGATTCGAACCCACGACCTCCGGCTTGTAGTCAGCAGCACTAACCACTCGTCCACCGTCGGCGAGATGAAAAAATACTTAAAAGCTTGGAAATAGATCTTTAACGTTGTAAATATTCTTTCTATTGTTGTCAGAAGTCAAAACTGAAAATTATAATAATTATTAAAAGCCACAAAAAGAAAATATGGCAACATTACTCGGGGGGCGCTTGTTGCGCATATTTCTGTATTTTCACCCTCTGGAATTAACTAGCAGTTATCGCGATTTATAGGTTGTATTTGTGTTTGATAGTGTTGTTTTTGAAATGAATATTGAGATTTTTTGGAAAGTGACGACGATGAACAAATTGTCAAGTCGTTTAGAACGAAAAGAACATTTTCAACATTATGACGATGTTGATTTTTTTATGAGTTATCGGCTGCAGAAGCAAATACAGTGGAAATCATATAGAAAAAAAATAGAAACTTTAACGGATAAGTATACTTATCCGTTAAAGTACCTATAGGTACAAGCAAAGATAATTATCTTTGCGTACAAGTTCTAAATATTTATCAAAGTATCATGAAAACAATTTGAAATATATTTATATTAAATAGATGTTTTATGGTAAAGTAAGATTTTAACATAGGATATTTTTAAATAAATGTGTGTAACCATAAATAAAAAATAATATATTATATAAAAAAAATTTTTGTATGTATTTTTATTTAAAAATATACCTATACGTACAGGTAATAAAACAAGTATAACAATATATATTAATATAAACAATACCATACCATTTACTAAACAGTTACGAAACTGAAACCGTACGAGGCGAAGAAAAACTGGCAGATAAAGGTAACTGTAAGATATTTAACCGCCATTTTTAGTCAACAAATTGTTATGCAGATGGAGCTAATAACCTAGGTTCACTGTGTCACCGGTGTGGCTGTGCCATCTGCCTATAAGTAGATGTTCGTTTAGGACGTGTTTAGCCGAATCATAGGCAGCTAAGAAAATCAGGACATAAAGAAAACAACGACATACGTTAAAATTAATAAAGTGTGGAGCATCAATGGTACCACAAAAGGAACATTCCCAAAATGTTTAGAATCGGTACATACCAAAACAAAAAACAAACTTCTCGAAAAGGCAATAACCATAATAATAATAATAATAATAATAATAATAATGTGTTCACCATGGCTACCCGGCAATGATGAGGTCCCAGACTGAAACAGTATGTCTGTCTGTGCCTGGTGCGCATTATTGTACTGTTATTTTCTGAATTGAATTTCTTGAAATCGCTTATAACTAATTTAATTACGGAATTGGCGTCAAATTTTAAATGTGTGTTGTGAATTGCATATAAATGAATTAAGTTTAAATTCATTGCCGTCGTTTAAGTTTAGTAATAACGGCATGAAGGGTCTTTGAAGCAAAGTCAATGGAGCATTGTGTTCTCTATAAACTATGATGAACGTAATAAAGTTATACGTCAAAATCGATATCCTACATTCTGCTCGTTGATTCTATAGATAATTTAATATTTGAGATAATGAAAAATAATTAATTTTAGATGAAACATCAATGTTTTTGTTGTTTAACGTATTCCTGTGTCATGTGAGCCAACTTGTGGCTATATAACCCTAAAATACATGGACGTAATTTCAAATTTTTAACTGGGATGGCAAGGCGTACCGGGGGTGTGGGGGTTTGGAATGCCCCCACGTGTAAGGAAGGCCCGGTAGTACTCCCCCGAGAAACTAAAAACAAACAGCGTTAAACTGTTAAGCCCGCTGCACAACAGCCCGGTAACGGAAACGGGAACCTAAACGGTAAAGGTGGGGGAGACTCAGCAAACACTATCGATCAACAGTGGTTTCTTAGTCTCTCCCACCTTTACTGTTCCGATTACCGTTCGCGTTTCCGTTACTGGGCGATTGTGCAGCGATTTTTTAAGCTTTTTACAACAATTCTATGGTGGAAACTGCCACCCCTTACCACTGCTAGATTACTAACCTTAAACTTACTAACCATTCGTAAATTTTATGAGTTTTTAGAAAAAATAGTTTTGCTTATTGCATATTTCAAAGTTCTGCCTAATTAAACCTAAATATAACAGTTTTCTCTCTTATATATAAACACAGACATTGCTATCCAAAACAACCCAATCCATATCTTTGAATTATGTGTTATGTGTTATTTATTTAGTTATACTATTTCCTGTTTTCCTTATAGCATTCTGGCTAATAAAGATATTATTAATTTTTAGTAAAAAAATCATATTTTTATCAAATTAAGAATAGTACTAACCTTTTGTAAAAAATACAACGCACCGCACTAAAAGACCACAAACAGAAAATTGATTAAAAAGATTAATTCATTAAGAATATTCATTTAAAGCCACAGAACGAGAAGACGTGAGGCTAGGTCAGGGTGGAAGAAGGAGGTGATACAAATATTTGTTAAAATTCTCAATAGATGGCGCATTAACGTGGAACCTGTTTTAATCCGGTGCATAACAAACTTTTCCCAGTATTGCCAATCGTTCTGCAAATTATTATAATAATGCTGTAAGAAAAGATGTAATTTTCGTAGGGTAGAAGACTCTCCTTGAGTTTTCGTTTTCTTATAATTTGTTGTTAAAAGTTAAGTTGTTATAGAATATATGGATTTCGTTGGTAAAACCTTGGGTTCTTAGTTGACTCGCCATCTAACGAACAACGAACGAAAAAATGACTTATCTGGACGCTTGCTTCTGTACTGTAGATATAGATATTATCTATTAGATAATATCTATAATATCTATTAGATAATATCACCTTCTTCCACCCTGGGCTAGGTGTAATAAATTATTGACAGTTGTCGTAATTTTTACGAATGGTTAGCATTCTAGGTATAATGAAACTATTTTTACCTTAGATAATAGTATTATTTTTAAAAAATCTATTATTCTATTTAAAAATTAACGAAGATTTAATATATTTTCTTTATTTATGTTATTTATGTTAAAATTTTGATTTGCGGGTTGTTTAGACTTTTAAAAATATCCAATGATGATATTTTATTAAAAAAACATGTTATAATCAAACTGTTATGTCAGAATATTCAAAACAATACTCCTAGAATCAAATTTTCCAACAAATTATATATTTTGGATAAACTCGCATCATTGGGTGATTTCCCTCTATTTCTGAAGATACATTATTATTTCGTTCACAGTTCTGCGAAATCAATCATAATATACCTATAACAAATATTCAAATTAGGCTTGTGGTTATTTTTTCTTGATGTATTGTGCGCTGGTGAAGCTATGGTCAAAAATATATTTAGGAAGTTCGCAAAGCACAGAGTATTTATTATAAACAATGCTTGCTTTTGCTATTTACTTTTGGATTGAAGATTATTTAAGTTTTAAGCAAGCACCCGCATTGACGTAATTTAATAAGTGTTAGGTACTATAGTCGTCGCGGCGAATGTTTCAAATTGGGTAATCAATGTCGAATGTCAAAAACCGATTCTCGACATACGGTTAACCTAGCGGTTGCTTGGATTATATACGTAAAAGAAAACAACAATAATTGTAATGTCTGTGCTTGGTTCAGAATTTGATAATGCAATTTGAAACATTCGCCGTGACAACTATACTCTCTAAAAATGAATTAGTCAAAAATGACTAGTTTAATAGTTATTAGTGGCTGCTTTTTCACTTGTACCATGGTTAACCATGGAATACCATGGTATTCCAATTCTTATGTAAAATTGTCCCCTAAATCCGAAAATACTGTCAAAAATTATGAAAGTGGATCAGTTTTTGATATATAGTCAATTCCATATTAAATGGAAAATTGACTATATCTCAAAAGCTGTTCTACTTTTTTAACTTTTGACGACATTTTCGGATTCAGGGGACAATTTTACATAATAATTGTCTGTTAAATTTTGGAATAACATGGTATTCCATGGTTAACCATGGTACAAGTGAAAAAGCAGCCACTAATAACTTTTAAATTAGTCATTTTTGACTAATTCATTTTTAGACAGTAGATTTATAATGTTTTCGCAATTTTCGCAAAAAAAAATGATAGCAAATATAATTTGTTTTGAGTATTATTAGTTGTCCTGTTAATTAGATAGAGTTATCCAATGTCTGTTTTTCTTATTTTATTGGTCCAAAAGAATATACGTTTCTAATGGGGGAAGCCTTTTGGTTAGCCTGTTAGTTGTTGATGACAGGTGTATAATATTATTTAGTCTAGCGCTTTGAACGTACTTACGTTTGGTTTTTATTCTTGACGCTTTTTAGTTAGTTGTTTGCGTTACTATATTTTTCTAATTTTTAACTGTTGTTGCAAATTGCATTAAGGTCATGAGGTTGAGGTGTCCCCTGGTCCCTAGTCCTCTTTTTGGTGTATGTGGCAGGTGGTATCCGACAGGTATGGCGGCGCTTATCACTTATCCACTTATCCTTATTTTTAAAAATTTTGAAGTATAGAAATACTGCACTTTTTATTAAACTATGAATTTTGGTTATTTATTTATTTATGATATGAAAGAGCACTAGCTATAGCTTATAAGGTCTACTTTACACGAGAGTTACATCGATACTGGTTTATAAGGCAATCTTTGATAATTAACAAATTGTTATAAAATTTTAGAATGAATATTTTCAAATAACCAACTTATAAGAAATCGATAAAACTTGTTCTTTCCTGGTGAATTTTTTAACCACACCATGTTAACAAGGTTCCATTTACAAAATTAAAACCTTAAGAATAAATTGAGTAAAACTTGGTAAATATTTTTTTTCAGATTACCAGGAATATGTACCAAAACACGAAATATCCGACTCAAGAAACAGCGATGGAGAAATCCTCATTTTCCGTGACCAGCAAAGAAGTCCAGAGGAAACGGAGGCGGCACACGATCTTCTATCGCTCTCTCAAAGCCTACCGCCGCTCACCAACCCGAGCGTGGTCATGTTTCATCACACAGTTCCGACTGACTCCGAGAGTGCCACCTCCAGCTACTACAGGTCTCTTACTCCAGAACCTCAAAAAAATACCAAATTGATTACCAATGTACCATCCGCGCCCATCGTTTACGTGGTACAATTACCAGCAATTTCCACAGTTCCAACGCCGCCCATTTCAGAACCATCAAACGATATTATAATGGAAACCGGCGATCAAACGACATGTGAGGAAAGTGATATTGTTATTTTTCCACTGTCTCCTGAATTGCCAGAGAAAAAGTACGATATAAATGAATCCGCCGAGGAATATATTACTGAGACGATACAGGTAGTTGATAACAAACAGACGGTACTGGTAAGCTCCCCTCTAGAACTTCCAGATACCAGAAAAAGAAACTATAAATGCTCTAATTCTGAACAATTAAAGTCAAATGCACAAGTGCAGCCAAAGAATAATAATAATTCGAAAGTGTCGAGGAATAAGAACAAGGACAGGGAGGAAGTTTTGGAAAAGAAACCAAGGTCATCCAGGAGAAAAACGGTAACTTAAATTAGTTATCTTATAACTTGTTTATTTTGGGATAGGTTTAGTTTTAATATTAGCTTAAACTTGTCCTTTTTTAATATGAATTTCACTGTTTTGCATGTTATAACATTTTTCTCACACTATTACTACAAATTGGATAAGTTTCTCATTTTGAACATAACTTTTTAGTTTTGTTAATTGATGTTGATTTTTTTTTAATTAAAAACTTATATTAGATACTAAAGAGTATTTTAAACTAAGCCCAATATTTAACTTTTCAATTAAACACCTTATTATTTTATGCATTAAAATTGTAAAAATTAAAATACGGCAATAAATATTTGCATTTATGCTAAACTTAAATAAATATTATTTTTATTGTTTAACACTTATTTAAACATAAACATACCTACCGTTAAAATTCTGCTAATTATTTAGGAATAGAGGGATTAAGTCTACACAGGTGTATTTATAAACTGCAACAGGTATTTTGCCACAGTAATGCTTTAAAATTTGTACATAAACGATTACTTTAAACAGAATGGAAATGATAGCTCCAACCGAAATTGTAGAAACACAATAATAAATAAACGAAAAAAATGCATTCTAAAATTAATTTTTTTCAGAAATTCTACAAAGTTGTGGATTCTTCGACTGACGAACACGACGATCAAAACTCCTCGGAAGAGACAAGCAACGTTCTCAAGGGCTTCCCATGCAACGAGTGCGGCAAAATGTATGCTACATCTAGCAACCTGTCGCGGCACAAACAGACCCATCGAAGCCTGGATTCTCAGTCGGCCAAAAAGTGCAATACGTGCGGTAAAGCCTACGTCAGCATGCCCGCCTTGGCGATGCACCTTCTCACTCACCGCCTCTCCCACAGTTGCGGAATTTGCGGTAAGCAATTCTCCAGACCCTGGCTGCTCCAAGGTCACCTGAGATCCCACACGGGGGAGAAACCCTATGGGTGCGCCCATTGCGGAAAGGCCTTCGCCGACAGGTCCAATCTAAGGGCTCACATGCAAACCCACTCAGGCGACAAAAACTACACCTGTCACAAATGCAAAAAGAGTTTCGCCCTCAAGTCATACCTTACCAAACACCAAGAATCTTCTTGCGTTCAAGTTACCCAGTTAAAAGAGGTCGTGTCGGTCAGTGTAGAGACGCAGACATCCATGGATTAAGTTCCGAGCTCAATTTTTTCACTATTTAATTGACGAAATAAGTCGTATTAATTTGGGGAGAATGTTTAATGATTTTTTAATGGATAAAAGCAGTTTTGTTGATATTATAATATACATTTTTGATACAAAGTAATTCGTCTAAAGATTGAATAAAAATTAATAAAGACAGATGTTTTAATGAAATGTTGAAGATACTGAATTTCGTACCTTTAAAAAAATAACAAGAAGCACTTCTCAGGGATAAGTCTTAAATTTAAGGTATCAATTACGTCCTATTTTAAAAATTCTATAAATTTTATTTTTGCATATTAAAGAAACGTTTTTTCTCATTATTTTCTGCTTAATTGTATTAAGTAATGTACTAAAATAACTTAATAACAGCCATTCAAATCACCTACCATTCCCGTCATATGGGTATTTAAATCAAGGCTACTTGGTGGCCACCAATCACTGTATGACAAAAAGCACAACTCTTTGTATAATACCAATTTCCTTAATACTACAATGTTCCTGTCTATTTCCGTTATATCTGAAAATAACCTACCTATTAATCAAAATTTATTTTATAATACTAACAAAACTGCATTTAATAAAACGACCAAGTTAAAACTGATTTGTAAATAGTTGTAATATAGTTTAAATTATTGAAAAATTATAATCTGGTAGAGCCAAGTCTGAGCCCGGCAATAATAAGCAATATTTCAATACTAAAAACGCTTAATACTCGTACGTAAAAACACTGGAGAAAATTAACAGAATTATAAAAAGCAACGAACGTACTATGCTCCACACTTCAAAGTCCCACCACGTGACCACGTACGGAACGCAGTCTTTTGATAATTTGTCATTTAAGGCTTTTCAGGTTATGTATCTGTCAAAGTATAGTCAATGCAAGAAATAATATTTATACTGTTACCATTTATGTTTAAGCGTTAAATTTTAACTTAAAAGTTTATAAATCTTTATAGTATCACATAACAATGGTTGGTTTAATGAAATTCTAAAGTGTATAGTGCCAAATAAGTAAAATTTTTGTGCATTTGGTCTACATATATCTGGTTTTATCCATTAAATAGTTTTAACTAAACGGCATTTATTAAAAAAATTTAGCTTGTCTATTATGGAATAAGAATATCTGTATCAAAGGTAGGTTAATATATTATAACAAAAAATATCATCTAATTTTGAAATTTTAAGGTTAGAAAAATCTATTTTGATCAAAATAAATAAGAATTCTGGATTATTTGGAAGAGTGTGTTAATATGGTCATATAAATATAGATATACTAAATAATTGTTGAATATGGTTCAAATTAAATTAAAGCTTTTATACTCCTAACAACAAAACTTGTGCATACCTCTCGGGATCCCTATTTTAAGTTAGATTATAAGGAAACAAACAATTTTTAGAGATACATGCAATGTAAAAACATTTAATACTCCCATAACATGTGATTTTTGAAATTTTTAAAAGGTATAATGATTTTTCGATGAAGATAAAATTCATTTGAAGCTATACGTAATTGTATTGACAAAACATAGGTATACTTTAAGCTGGATAAGAAAGACTACCTACTACAAGTAAAAATATTAGATAGAGTATACTGTGGTTTTATTTAAATTTTAGAATTTATAAGGGTATTTATACCTAATGATTGTTCGATGTAGATAAAATTTTGTCGAAGCTTTTATAGGTACTTGTATTGACACTATGGGTATATTAGCTGACAGTAAGGAACTTTAAGAACTTTAAGAAGGTTAGCTATTGAATTTTCAAAAACACTTGTAAAAACAATTTACAGTTACAGTACCTACCTAATGGTTTTATATTTGAGATCTCTCATAGTGCTTATTTCCAAGAGCAAGTTATTTAATTACAGCTTACATTTAGGTAGTGGATGACTAATTTGTTTTACTTGGGCATAAATATTTATTTATTTAAAGTACCTACATATAAACATCTTTGATTAATTAAATAAACAAAAAATAATATATTTTAAATAAAAATTTAAAGAATCTAAAATCGATAAAAGTTCAAAAACTCACATATAGAAAAAAAATAAGTTTGGAAATTTGTAAAATAATAAAAAACATTATTTAAAATTATTTAATAATTTGAAAATTTTAATAATTTTAAGGTGTTGTTTTTAGATTCCTTCTTTTAAATTAACCCCTTTTAATATTTAATTAATTTTAAAAATCTTAAAATAGTTAAGTTTTACAGTTGAAAATATTTATGCCGGAGTAAAACAAAATAGACATCATAATTGAACAACTGGCTCTTGGAAATAAGCAATATTAAACATTTCAAATATAAAACCATTAGATTTTTTTTTTTTTTTTTTATTGAAAAGTAATACCTATCCAAATAGCCGAAATGGGCTTTGACAGATATGTAATTTACAAATAGATTTAAAATTAACATTTAGCAATAAATAATTAAAATATAATACTATAATATGATACTTAATTTTAAAAAACTGTAAATTCTTTTTAAAAATTCAATAGCTAACCTTTTTAAAGTTCCTTACACTGTCAGCTAATATACCCATAGTGTCAATACAAGTACCTATAAAAGCTTCGACAAAATTTTATCTACATCGAACAATCATTAGGTATTTACCTTATAAATTCTAAAATTTAAATAAAACCACAGTATACTCTATCTAATATTTTTACTTGTAGTAGTCTTTCTTATCCAGCTTAAAGTATACCTACATAAAGTTTTGTCAATACAATTACGTATAGCTTCAACTGAATTTTATCTTCATCGAAAAATCATTATAACTTTTAAAAATTTCAAAAATCACATGTTATGGGAGTATTAAATGTTTTTACATTGCATGTATCTCTAAAAATTGTTTGTTTCCTTATAATCTAACTTAAAATAGGGATCCCGAGAGGTATGCACAAGTTTTGTCGTTAGGAGTATAAAAGCTTTAATTTAATTTGAACCATATTCAACAATTATTTAGTATATCTATATTTATATGACCATATTAACACAATCTTCCAAATAATCCAAAATACTTATTTATTTTGATCAAAATAGATTTTTCTAACCTTAAAATTTTAAAATTAGATGATATTTTTTGTTATAATATATTAACCTACCTTTGATACAGATATTCTTATTCCATAATAGAGAAGCTAGATATTTTTAATAAATGCCGTTTAGTTAAAACTATTTTATGGACAAAACCAGATATAATATATTAACATATTATGTAGACCAAATGCACAAAAATTTTACTTATTTGGCACTATATACTTTAGAATTTCATTAAATGCAGTATTTATACTCCTAAACTCTTAAACCAACCATTGTTACTGTGATACTATAAAGATTTATAAACTTTTAACGCTTAAACATAAACGGTAAAAGTATAAATATTATTTCTTTCATTGACTATACTTTGACAGATACATAACCTAAAAAGCCTTAAATGACAAATTTTCAAAAGACTGCGTTCCGTACGTGGTCACGTGGTGGGACTTTGAAGTGTGGAGCATAGTACGTACAGCTAGATAGCTGTAGTCAATTTATTTAAATTTAAAGTCATTGAATCCCTCACAATATCGCGAAAATTAAACTATTATTTTGTATGTATGTAATTTAATTTGGTTAATGGTGTATTTTGTATGTAAAATGTCAAAATGTCACCCTGTAGAGTCCGAACTTGAAACTTCCCAGTGAGATATTTATATAAGTCTAGTCGTTAGTATATCTAGTCGTTTTTATGTGTTTATTTATGAAGTAACTTATTCTAGTCATATTATTTATTACATTTACGTTATAGACTTAACATTATACAACGAAGAAAGTCCTGATTTAGGACTCCTAAGGTGTTTTATCTTTGTATTTCTATTTTATCGTGCTAGAAAAATTAAAATTTTTGCATAAATACAAAAAACTGCATTATACCTAACGTTTTAGTGCAGTTTGCTGTTCATGCTTTGCATTATTATTATAATATTTTTGTAGGAGTTTTTTGCTGTCTTCTTGATGATTCTGTGATTGCAAAAATTAAAGATACAAATATTTTATAACGTTTATTTAAATATAAAAATAATTTTTTAACAATTACAGAATCATTAAACCTAAAAAATGTATCCTGTATGTGGCTGTATTATGTGTTTTGATAAACTCTACATACATAAAGTACGGAGTGGCATAGAAAGGGCAAATTAATCTGTAAGACATGCATACTCTATTGGGAAGTAAAGAAATGATATGGGGTAGGTATATTTTTAATAAAGTTTAATCACACCAAACGGACGCAAAATAAATTTGACAGTTGATATTAAATTTATAAAACAGAATATAAAGGATATTAAATCAAAGGTCACCTAAAATAAAACAATATCACGGGATTATATGAATCTTGAAAAAGTACTTTTTGCTATTTTTTACTTATGCATTTGCAATGATTCAATAGTAATAAGTAAAGAAATAATAATATTTTTAAGAAAAAGAGCTTTAATGTATTTCGAAAACTTAAAAAAGTCGTTCAATTAATAGATAGCGTGAGTGAATGGGTGATAGAAGTAAAATATAGCAATAGAGCATGTACTTAAGAAAACTTCTTCTTAATAGTACTTTAACAGCAGTATTTACTATTATTTTTATTGAAACATCAAAAGTAACTGCTTTATTTTCTTAGTTTTACATTTTTAATACATACTCATAAAAAACTTAAATTTGTATTTAATATTGGAGTTGCAAAAAAAGCATATATAAAAAATTTAAGGTCAGTGAAATAAATAAACGTGATACAAATTTGCGAAGAAATGATTTGCATTTTAATAGCTTTAAAACTAGTTGCAGTTTTGATTAATATACACCAAATTATATTTATACTTAGACAGCTAAAGTTTTAAATTCTTAGTCTATTCACATAGAATTTAGCTAACACACAATTTCCATTTAGGACTATAATAAGCTCATCCAGTCAATTTAACTTTTTTAGGTATTTTACAATTTTCTTCTTGAAGCAAAATTGTTGGCTTATAAAACTAATTTTGTAATCTTTGTAATGAAAAGTAAACACCAAATATAAATATACTTACAATTAAGTATATTTATCTAGTATAAAAATATATTTTTTGGGTGAGAATATTCTAGTTAAAAGCTTGACTGAGGTAAATATTTATTACTATTAAGTTTTTTGATAAAAATAAAGCAATAAATTGGTCGATAATATTTGTCAATCTTTATATATTTTGAAAATAGCGGAACGTTTAAATAATAATAATAGTTATAGCGTATGCATGTATTTATCTAGAGAATATATTATATTCAATTCACTCTAGCCCAGAAGCAATAATAAAATATTTTTAATCTGTATTTTATTGTTTAATTTATATTCCCTTCTTATAAAGAATTTGTTTGCTGTTAAATCTTTTTTAAAGTATCAAAAGGTTATTCGTCGAATACAAAAATATTTAGTTTAAAAAATAGTTTTAAAAGTTATGCACCACTTAAAATATCCGTTTAGTTTAATTCATCATTTCAATGATTTATTTAGTCTTTGATTCGCCATGGCACATCGGCGCGCCGGGCCGGGCCATACGCCCGATTTAGGCTAGTAGAGTGCAGGACTAGGAGGAAAATCATTTTGGTTTTAGGGGACATTGGACTAAAACAAAACTATACCCTTTACCAGGGATTTAGTAATACCCCAATTCAATTGGTGCTCATGAATGGGGCTTGATAAGTTAGTTCGCTGCTTAAACCTATCCTTGATTGTAATAATCCCTGTTCGTTTGCGTCTGTGTCTG